GGGCAGAGCGGGAGTATATAAGGGGCAGCTAAAAAGGGATTATAGAAATTTGTCTTCAATTTTTAATCCTTGTTATACTTTTAGTGATTTTTCTGAGGTTTTTACTTTGTTAGCTTCAAAAGAATTTCTTTAGGTTCTTTGATCCACCTCCTTTATGTTTTCAAATGTGCATTAACGATATTATACCTCGGGACGATGACGAGTGGAGCGCACGTGCTAAGAAGGTGTTCAAGTATTATCTGCGCGACGATGTTCCAATAGCATTGAATGTATTAGATTTCGGTCGCGGGTTAGTATTGCACCAAACTTATTTCTTCTATGAATTAACTGCGCAGTTCACTGGATTATTATGAAAGTAGACATTACAGCTCATCCGTAAAAAGACGTATCTCCAGTTCTCCAGTTTCGTCTGGCTATGACTGTAAACCGCACTTACGACCAGGCATTGTTCTGGTCAATGAACTGAAGGTGATTTTTTTTATTTCTTTGTCTTTTTCTAATATATCATGATTTAGAGATTGTTGCACTTCCTGGTGGTAGAAATATTATGTGAAAATGTTGCTTAGCGTAGTGGGTCAGAAAGCACTTTTAATACAGAATTTTTCTATATAGTTGTTTAATTAAGGTTATGGATGGAGTTTCAAACTTTGTAGTTGAAGAATACATGGTTCAGGATTCTTTGGCTATTTGGGGTAATGTCTTTCAATAAAAAGTCGACGATTTTTACACTTTGCACCTCGTTATTGCCGCTTGCTTATTTCTTTTGAAATTTTTGTATATGTTTTAACATATCTTAGATCGGGGAGTCAGGTAGTTGTTACCAGAGTTTAACTTCCCAGTCAAAATGAGACAGTCGTAAAAGGTAGTAATTTTTGCCCTCTTTTTTTTGAATATTTTTGGCGTAGTGCTGTTTGAAAACCTGGTTTTACTTTCATTTTAAATCTGTAAAATTATCTCGCCTTCAAAGAAAGGAATGTGCTGCAGTTTGTTTCTGAGTTGACGGAATTTTTTACTTCCTTGTAGTTAAGTGATGAATATTGATCTTCAGTTTTTGATTTCAAATTTACCGAGTGCAATATTTTATTTTCCTTCTTCTTAATTGTATTTATGATGTAAATTATTTTAAGGTTTTATCACCTAGAGATTTATGTTTTCCTCTTTTGCTTAATAAATTTATACAATACCCTCTAATTTTGTCAGCAGGGGAATTTTCAAAAGAAGTCTGCCGCTTTTCTGAAGGCAGTGGAAAAGTTGACTCGAAATTTGTGCAACGTTATGGCCTTGACGAACGGGGCAATTAAGTGCTCTTAGGGCATGAAAGAGATGAAGCTTTTTGGGATTGAAAAGAGAATTTTTTTGCTGGATGCATCAAAGGCTGAAAGATGGGTAACAAGGGTGCCTTTATTTGAATTTCGAATTCGGTGAGGCTGCGACCCTGTCAAATTTTTCTGGTCTCTGAGAAGAGTACTTCAGATGCAAAGTTCTTGAGCTCACTCACTGTTAAAGCAAGGTATGCCACACTTCACATCAGCGTGATTGCCCGCCGGGTTTCATTTCATTTGAGAAATGAGAATCAATTTATTTTTTTTTCTAGTCAATTTGGGTGTTGACCAGTCATTTTGGGTTGCTTTTTCCGAAGTACAGTTGAATAATCTGAAGAGGTCTCGGAAAGGCGAAAAACTAAATAAATAGTGGTATTACACCTCCGTAGTTTCCTTCTGTCGATGATGGCTAGGCTAGCTCAAAGAACACTTCATCCTTCTGTACTGAGTGTTGAAGGTAGAGGGCGGTTGTTGGTGAAGAAGGGTAATGGCATAGTTGTGGAATCTGTGCACTATTTTATGATTAAGATTAGGTTTGACACCAAGTAAAGAACTGTGCTTTGAATAATCTTGTTCTGAAAGTGTTGAAGGGCAGTGTTTCGTGAAACAATGAAAATGGTGTATTTCAGAGTTGTGCCGAAAGCAAGTCGAGCTTTCTAAGAGACCATTATCAGCTTTGAACTTAGCTGTCACGTCTAGGTTTACTAAGCTTTGAACGTGAGATGTAAAGTAGAATACGATCATTTTAAAAGGTTGATTTTAAATAACTCAGTTACCAGAACGAAAAAAACAACAGTCTAAGTTGGCAGAAGGGCAAAATACTGTTTTTTCGTCACTATTCTCCGTTCCCCCTTTATGGAGCTGTTAAATTTAGTTGAGAAATTTGGTATCTTAGTTTTCTTGCAGGCAACTGTTTTTTTTTTTCGATAAAGCTTAAGAAGAATGGTTCGGAGAATATTCAACACCATGAAACGGCTTGCTGCTTTAGTAGAAGGACTGTTACAGGAGTTTTTGACGGTTTTATCCGTAGTCGCTTTGTTAAGGTAAGGCATGTGTGACATATTTGTTAACTTTTCCGTTAGTCAGTTAGCTTTAATGATTACTTACTTTTTGAACAGTGTTTAAAGCAAATTTTAAATTTTAACGCGTAACAATTTATTTCTATTTACATGTTAAAAAATTGGGTGGAAAACAAATCAGAATTGAAAGTTACGACAAAATCCATTCGTTTCTTATCATTACAAAGCAGGCGTTGTATCCGCATGGCGTCTTGCAGCATCTAGGAAAACCAATATTTATATCAATGATTAAAAAAAAAAAACGAAAGAAAAAATAAAGTACTTCTGTATTGTTTTCAGCTAAATGGATGTGGAATAAAGATTTATTCTTAGCTTACAGCACGACGTAATCACAAAATTTTGCAACACAGCTTCAAAAAAATTTTTACTATTATCGTCAATAATAGCAGTTTAATTTTTTTCTGTGTTTATGCATGATTCGGTTCTAACCAACATTTTAAAAATGTTCTGAAACCTCTTTCTTTGTTTATTATGTTCCTCTATGTTTTCGAATCTTTAAAACTGATTGAAGACTAAAGACTGCCTAAGGATTTGAAGTCATATACGAAACTTTGCTTTGAAGTTTCTGCAACATGGACATGAAAAAGTGGATGAACAATTAGGTACCACGGTGAGATGAGGAAAACGCAGCAAATATGGCAAGTTTATAGGGATGTAAAGACATCGGAAGCCCTTCCTTGGGGTTTCAAAATTGGACTAATTTTTAATTTAGATTAGAATTTTGTGTTTAAAATGATTTTTTAAAACACTGTCAAATGGTTGATTGGTTGACGTAAAATAGTTTATGCATTTTTTGCAGTGGCGTTATTTTGCAATAAGTTGCAGCTTATACTAATGAAAGTTGGAGCCAAAAGCAAATTTGAACATTTATGCCAGAAATGTATAGTATTTGTTCGTAATTAGATACTTACTTTAAATATAGGCTAGAGTAAAAAAGATGCATTTAAAGAGGAGTTGTTCTAGCTTTTTGAGTCACCAGGTTAATCATTTGTTATATTTCAGATTGCGGAACATACTGTATGGATCTGTTATTGTCTAATTATGTTTTCTGTTTAGCCAAGTTTGTTCAAACATTTTTTTTGGGAAGGGTTACTGCTATTAAATTTCTGAATATATAAAAAAAGGTTTTGATTTACTCAAGCTTAACTTTTGAAGCAATTTTTTTAGTCATTTTAACTTTTGTTTCAGTTATAGGTACTTCAAATTATGGACCAAGATGCAAAAGAATAAAAAGTTTTAAAAAAGAGCCTTTCTTTTAATTCTTGCTTTTTTCAGTGTATTTTCATTTGCAGTAGATACTGCTTAATATTAACTACCAAACGTGTCGCCAATGAAGTTGTGGATATGTGTTAACTAAGCTGCAATCTCTATGAAATTAGTTCCACATACTATTAATACTACGGTCAAAAACTGTAATCTGTAATATACAGCTTGTAAGGTATGTCAAATTTTCTTTCAAGTATTATTGTATTTTGGTTCTAAATTTTGAAATGGCAGAAAGTCTTATTAAAGGGTAAAACCAAAAAAGTTCAATTTTCTTCTTTTGGATATTTTTTTACATTTTAATTGTATTATATTTGAACCCTTTTTATCTGACTTCCTTTGATGAAATTAAAATTAAACTTACATCTTCTAGTAAAATAAATATAGTTTACTATTTTAAAACCGATAATCTCTCGTAAGGAAAAATAATTTTTTAAAAGCAACTCTATAAGCGTTCTCAGATATATGTATTTTGACATTCAGCTGATTGTTTAGTGTTATTTGTAATGAGCAATTTTGTGGTTTTATAAAGATTCTCAGAAACTGCTTTTTTAGAACTCCTAATTGCCCGTGGCTTTTCTACAACAAATTTAGATGCACAGAATCCGGAAAAAACGTGTCTAATTTTGCTATACATATCCTTATTCGTTTTTTCTCAAATATCGCTCTATTTTTTGCTCGCTGTCGATTAGTTTCTTTAAAACTTTTTGAAAACTTGCTCTTAGAGAAGAGTATAAAAACTTCCTTTTTCTAGAAGACAGCCTTTTTTTTAATTAACGTTATGGTAGTGGTCTATGTTTTGGGACTTAAACTGACAGCTCAGTGATAAAAAGTTTTGTACTTGTGGCTAAAGTAAATATGGCCAAAGAAGCGTGAATAGGAATAATATCATCTAAGACCAAACCAATGCTAATTTTTTTACTTGCAAGAAAAATTGAATAACTTGTTAAAGCTGAGTTATAAAAGGTTTTTGCGAACAAATTCTTTTCTTCTAGTTCTACTTGTAACAGCGTAGTACTTTTTTCATAATATTAAGCAATTAGTTTCTGATATATAACATAACGAAAGTGACAATTTTTTAAAAATGCTTATTGGAAATTTGAGATTCTAAACATTTGAAACATTATTTGGACAGTATTTTGTATCGCAGTGGTAAAACTGCGTCTACTCTTACTCTTTTTATTTTGAGTAATAAATTAAATTTTATAGTAATATTATACTTTAATAAAGTTTTATGTGAATAACTGTTGCAAAGTTGTTGAAAAGTTTAACAATTTGTTATACTATGGTATCTCAACTTATTATATGAACATCCTCTTGCTTTTTTTTTTTTTCTTAAACTGTTTTACGAAATTCTTTGTTTAAATCACAAATCAACAAGAAAAAAAAAAGTAGTTGTACCTTCGTTTCTTTCTTCCGGCCCAGTTACATTCTTCTTGAGTAAAGCACCAATTGGTAGGATTTCGTTGGACACAATTTAACCTTATTGTTGACGGGTCTGGACAGTCTGGAGACATTGCCAATGATAAGAGTGCTAAAAATGTAAAATTTTTTTCAAGAAGAACTATTTTTCTACCGATGTGAACACTGAGCAAACGAAAATGTGATTAGATATTTTGAGTGCATTTTGCTGCATTACTATCTTTTGACATTGCACTGAAGCAGTATTTCATTTACAGTTATCCTATCAAATACCGCAATTATTTAAGTAAACCTTTATACTCTACACTTTTCCACTTTTAACAAGTTGAAAGTTCAGAATAAGGAAAAAAAAATTTTTTTATATTATTTGTTGACAGTTCTTTAAGAAAAAGTATCATAAACACTGATTTACTAAACCAGTTTTTATCTACAAACTAAGGAGAATTTTTGCATTAGACTTTATTATTACAGTCTAATTGATTGCCTGCAGATTATCCAGCTAATTAAACTTATTTTTTATTGCCAAAAAATTTTTAAAAAGAATTTTTAATCAGCAATAGCGCACTAAATGCTGTTATTTTGATTGTTTTTATAGTACAACAAACTGTCATACAGCTAAACACAGTAAGTAATGGATAGTTTTGAATGAACTAACAAAAATCGTTGATAAGATATGGAGCTGGAGTTCCAAAATTTGGATTAATGCAGACATTATAGTTACATCCTGTTGGACAGCATAACTGTTTAGATGTTGAATATCGACGACAGTCACGATTTGTATTACACCTGGAAATAAAAATTGATACAACTTGGTCGTCATATTTTTTTAATAAAACTTACTTACCAATTCACCGGTGAACGTTTATTACATCGGATGCCGATTACATTAATATTTGGGCATTCTGTATGTGGTGAAGTGCAACACTGTGAAGCAGTTGAACTTTGTACACAGACTATACCACTTTGGCATAACATTGAATCCATACACGAATAGTAATATCCACGACATAATGGTAACTCTAAAAAAAAAGTGTAAAGATGCAGTTTTAAATCTTTTTTAACAGATAATACAGTTTTTAACATTCAGTAATTCAACAAAAAATATTTTTACTCTAAAAAGTACATCTCAAGTTTCGACAGTGTTTAGAAATGACAGATCTGCTTAGCTAATGCCAACTAGGTTCTTCATAAGGTTCTTCTCTAAAAGAGGAAAGAAAAAGCCAAAATTGATTCATTTTCAATTAATAGAGCAATTGTTGAAATAAACCAAATAATACATTTTAATATTCTGAAAAAACTATCTTTAACTATATTATTTAGATATTTTAAGATGTTCAACACATTATAATAATTTATAGCCACTATTTTGCTGAAGTTAAAAAAAAGCTGATAACAGCTATTTCACTGAGTACATCGTTAAAAACAAAAAAATTTGATGTAACAGTAGTTGTAATAACTCTTTAAAACAGAAGCAACAAAAAAAAGTAGACAAAAGATTAAAAATATTTTAATTCTTGTAAATTTTTTAGATTTTTTTCTATTTTTTACTGACAACTTATAACTTTTAAAGAAGTAGAAAAATTAGACAAATATCAGCTGAAAATTTCTCCTCAATTTACGTTTAAAAATTACTCTTTTGCTTGGTTTAAGATCAGTATTTTCTTTTTTCAGTTTTCAGCTAAATTCTTCTCTATTATTCTGTTACTAAAATAACTGTTAAAGGAATTCAGTTACAGTTCTAAAAACCAGTAGTTCTATGTTTTTGAAGTATTTTTCAAATGTATGTATGTTCTATAAACAGAACAATATTTCAACTACTTATAAACTGTGTGTGTTGAACAGCCGACAACAACAACCAAAAACTGATAGCCCAAATTAACAGCACAGAAAAAGAAGTGTATGGAAGTGAAAAATACTGATAATTGTAAATTAAATTTATAAAAATAATTTTTTTTCTCTCTAATATCTTCTTTTTTTTTTTTTTTTTTT